CTCACTTGCGATAAAGAGTGTAAAACATTTTTTCTTGCTTAAAATTACCATAAAAGAAAAATTTTTAACAAAACGGATGTAATCAGGAGAGAGTTTTTTTTTTTTAAATTAATTGAAAAGTTTTTTATGAATTCAGAACTTTCAAATATAATAATTATTACTATAATATCACTGAATATAGAAAAATTTAAAAGACTTATTTTGTTATATCAAATCATTAATATTATAATTATCAATTGAGTAATATTAAATAGAAACATATAAAATATGCTATAAATTAAGTAAAAGTATTAGATATTGAATAGAGTTTTATAAAAAAAGTTTTTATTTATTTTTTTAAAATAAAACAAGCTATAAGGTATTATATTTCTATTATGCTTTGAAGTATAATTATTAAAGTAATATAAATATTATCAAAAATTTAATTTAAAACATATAATATATGTAAGAGTTAATGATGATATTAAAAAATAACTAAATAAAAAAGTTACTGATATAATGTTTGAAAAAGAATTGAAAAAATAAGACTTCTAATAATATTATTTCAATATCAATTTAATACTTAAATTTATTATAAATTTATATAAGTGAGTTACAATTCATATATTAAATTTATTATGGATTAATATTATTTTAATATTAGTTTGATACTAATTTAATATTTTTTGGAACTTTACAAAGAGCTAAAAAAAATTTATATTATTTTTTTTAAAACTGAAGAAGATAAGATTTAAAAAATTAAATTATTAATAGTTAATATTATATTTAAATTATTTTGGATTAGTATAAACTATATTATTATTATTATTTAAAAAAGAAACAAAGTACTTATTGATATACTGTACCATTTATATGACATTCTGATCAGCTGATTAGGGACTTTGTTATTTTATATTAATTTGATTTAGTTTATTTGTAATAATACAAATTTATCAATTAAAATTTAAATGTTTCAGAAAATAAATTTTATTTATAAAGTTATTTGCATCTATATGCAGACATTTAAATTATTAAAGTTAATATGCATAGATAATAAATTGTTTTTTGTAAGATGCATGTGTTATAGAGCTCAAGGAAGCAACTTCATGTAATCACAGGAAATAATTTATGTTTGTTATATAAGAAACTTTGTTCCCTATTCAATCTTGTACCTTTATAGATACTATTTGAATTGAATTCTGATATTTATTTGTATAGCAATAGGGACAATAAGTTTCTTTACTGCAATATTCAAAAACCCTCTATATAATCTCATATATTTTCTTTTTTATGGTTTTTTTATTGCATAAAAGGCATGGTACAGATCTATTAAATTTAAAGCAATCATTTTTAAAGCTATGGTTTAGAGTTAAATCAAGAAATCACTCCAATACCATTTCAATAACGTGGTGTTGCCTTTCTTCCAGGTCTTTAGGTAGAATAGAAATTGGGAGTTGTTATTTAGATGGTATAGGCTCTTCAAGCCATGATTCTTTCGAATTGCCTATGGCTTGCTCTGCAATAGATTGGACATTTACCTGCGGTACAAATAAAGTTTTTTTTTTCTGCATCCTTTTCGATTTGTGAGGATTCAGAAACTTCAGACTTTATCCAGGGATCGAGTCCAGTTTTTTTCTTATATCTTTTATATAATGTGGAGCAAATTTTATCTGTCAATGGACTTGGTAGGCCAGATAATTTATTGTGCCACTTGTAATAGTCATCAGTTAATGTTTTCTTGCCGGAGGTACTCACAAGGTGGTTAGATGGGCAAGACATATTATCATTGTATATAAATCAATTTAAATCGATGTATTGGATAACAAAAAATATATTAAATAGGTCCGACCTTTATTGTATGATATACAACATTTTATTTCTTTACGTTTTCTTACCAAAGGCAATTACAAAGTTCATACAACTATTTCTGCATTAATGTACTGGATCATGTTAATTTCAGATGCTTCACATTTAATATAGTATGAACCAGCTTCGTAATTGCCCTCTATACCTTCTTCATCTTCATGATTTAACTTGCATATTGGGCATAATGACTCAGAATTAATTCTATAATAATCGACACCTTCATTACTATATTCATAAAATACTGTATATCGGGATATTGCTCCAATGTTTTGTTGCGGAAATTGACATGGGCGTGGACTGGATTGGATGGAGTACTTACTCTAGTCTCCGGTAAACAATCATCTTCTCATTGATCTTATCTTTCGAATTAGAGATGGGAGACAGTGGGATAGAGGGAGTGGTTACAGTTCTTACCTCTGTTTCTGATAAAGTTTCTTCGCATACTATAGTTTATATATCAGATTTCGGTTGGCCATATGCGCATGAAGAATTCTTCACGCCGATCAATTTAATCTGTCTCAGCCTCTTTTTTTCAACTTCAACTTCGGCAAACTTTAGCAATTTATTCCCAAGTTCAGGAATTTCAGCATTCTCGGTTTCGAGATCAATGATTCGTTGTCTTAATAAATCTAATTCAGATGGGTTCTTAGGCTTGCTCCTTTGATCTTGCATGTTTAATATTAATTTATATAACTTTATTACAAATGTTCGGAAAAGGATTTTTATTGACCTACGTCTTGAAAATGTTTTTTATTAGTTAATGCCTTTAATTTCAAATAGAAATCAAGTAACATAACTAATAATCAAAAAATATATAAGCGTGCGCATTGTCCAAACTGATCACTTTTGCCAAGACAAATTCTTGATCATATGCGAGTTAATATACAAAACAAAAATAAATTCGCTTTATTAATACAAAATATGAGGCATGCATTCGGAGTATATATTTTTACAGCTTTCTGAGTGATATTTTCGTGAAAATTCAATTGTAAAACTAATATAAACATTCGTGTAACATTGTCAATCAAAATCAGACTTTCTAAATTCTTTACCTTACTCGCGTGTAAAAGTTAGAAAAGTTAAAGGTTAGGTATTATTAATTTCTGTTTACAATCTACACACGCCACCTTTGTTGCACGGGGACCACCAGACTTTGCCTTGGAGTTCAACACGACAGGGCGGACAACTGGTCAGACAGACAGGAATGCTGGAATCTAATCCTCCAGGGTTTACGTGCAAATCTTCCGTGTTCAACACATGTGTAAGATGAGTGGTTAGTGGAAAGAGCTTACTTTTGGGAGAGTATTGGTCTGTGTTCAGGAGGTCTGCTTTTCTACCTGATCGTTCAACACGAAAGGGATAGCTAAAGTTATATGTTAAGAGATTGCCTGGAACTTCTATGTATTCAACCGCATAGTTGCGACTGAATAACTTGTACTCGGATGGGGGCTACAAGAATTATTGGCATATGAACTTCAAAATTACTGCTGGTTAATCAAACTTCTTTCTATAATAGATGACCAAAATTGATAAGTTCAAACTGGATGCAAAATTTTGTCGACCACACTCTAGAATAAGTCAATTTTTCGCTAAAACATTTTTGATCAAGTGGAATTGTATCGACTTATTTACAAGATTCACCTATGAAGAAAATCCCATCATATCACCACAACAAGTGTTTGATATGTATAGTCAAAGTCTCACTGATATAACTATAATCAGATGCATTGACAATGACGTCGTGCGGTATGTCCACAATATCGTTAAACGGAATGTAAGGCATTCTATTATTTGATCATAGTTTCTTCTCACTACAATCCAATTAATATGTTTTCTAAACGATCTTACCAGAAAGAAAATTGTTTGAAAACCATAGGAGATACCTTAATACATATAAGGAGATTACGAGCAAAAGTAAGAAGTAATCTTTTCAGTCTTATTTGAATTTTTTTTTTACTAACATAATGTTTTATTTAGGAAAGGATAATTAAAACAGATAAAACGCGAATCGATTTTCAAACAGCAAAAGAAAATGATCAAATGAATAAAAGCTCTGATGTTTACGCTGTAAGTTTCTCTTATTACTGTTTGTTATTCTTATGTTAGTTATGTTAGTTATAATTTTTATTCCTTTTGTAGGATTTGGACAATGAGATCGATCAAACTCCTTCCGAACAAAAATCGGTAATTTTTGACATAACAGACAGTGAAGACGAGGTATAGTATTCATATATAAGTGTTATTGTGAAGAACAAATAATTGTTAATTGGTATAGTTTTTTTTAGACCGAATTCGAATTACTTACAGGAAATAATGACGCATCAGAATCAAACCAGTTTCATAATGTAGGTTACAAATAACTGAATTTTTCTATACTTCTAATGGTTAATTTTAATTTTTGTATCTAAGGGATCAGAAGGTGAAAATGTTGATTCCGAAAGAAGAGAATGGAAGGTTAACATATAAAAATAAAAGAAATAGAGATGAAGACGAAGATGTGATAGATTACGAGGGATTGTCATTACTATTTGATGAATCAAACGAAGATTCCATTGTGGAAGTTATTGATGAAAAAACACTTGAGCAAGAGGGCGCACTACCACAAGCAAGTGGCAATGAGGTAAATCTTAATGTTAACAGTAGGAAGTCTATATTCAGTAAGCTTATTATCTTATCCTCAATAGGATCAACAAAAAAACTTGGATGCGAATATCGTTGAAGCCTTTTACAAATATCAAAAGACGATTCCAAAATCTCGTAGGATTTTTACGTAAGTTTGATGTCATCTACCATTGTTTTTAATAACAGCTTAATTATTTGATATTTTCTATTATTTCATCCAATAGACCTGCGTATTGGGGAGTTCTGGACTTAACGAGAGAAAGCTTATATGATTGTAAACACCTCACAGAAAAAGACATAAATCAACTTTCGCAAGATTTTTCCAACAAAATTTCCTGGAAAACAATGCCCCCGGAAAAGCATATTCGAGAATATTTTGATAATAATTGTGAAAAAAATGCAGACAATATTGGAAAACTAGATATAAACATCCAGTTTATGTATGTATAAGTTTTTATTATATTTATTATCTGGGCATAATATTCTGACTCTGGATTGCTGTACAGGAAAAGCGATGCATCTAGTTTCCAAGGAATGATGACGGAGGAAGAGCTAAAAATGAGTTCGACATTTCCATTATTTCGCGGAGTGTTCGGTTCCAATAGGATTAAAAATGCTTGGTAAATCATTTGTTTTTGTCTATGAGGGTATATTTCAAGTATTCGGAACTAATAATAACCGTTCTATATATCTAGGGGGGAAATCCAGGCTTTATCTACAAACTATGCACGTAACGAAAAAAAAAGTCCATTTAAAAAGGCACGAATAGGAAGACGTGTAGATATGAAAAGTACTCTTATCAAAACGTCTAATAAATTCGAAGTTATTTATGGAGAAGTGTCAGGGGGATTGGGCCCGCTTGGAATGCCTACTGCTTGTCGCAAAAAACGTTACCTGGACAAGGTAAAGCTCACGATAATAATGCGAGACAACATAAACCGACTTCTAAAAGAATGCAAATACGTATCATTTGAGAAACGTACGAATTTAATTATATATGGGTGGCTCCAATTTGGTAAGTTTACCTGCATTATTGACATAGGTTGGGCTTAATTGCTAATAAATTTCGATTTTATGTATAGGACTAGAACTTAATTTTTATGCCATGGATTGGGCAGGATCCGGGATATACAGATTCGGTTTAGTAGATCAATGTAGATTACCATCAGACGAGGATGAATTTGGGATTCTCGAAGATGCGTACTGCATTCTTAAATTGCTTGAAGTAAGTAATATTCATTACTAATAATATCACAATAAATATATAACTAACTTGTAGGTCTAAATGTAGAATAAATCACTTGAAGCCGAGAAAGTAGTAAAAAATTTATTTTTAGAAAATACGAAGGGGAAACGAAGGAAAATTGTACCCGAAACTGAAGCTGAGTTAAATGAAAGTCGCTCTCCCTAAAGCCAATAATTTTACTTTGTTTCATAAACACTAATAACCGCATATATAAGAATATCATGTAGCGTGAAGAATTCTTCACGCCGATCACTTTTGCCAAAATAAATTCAGAAAAAATATACGTCTATTCACTTTGTTATTACAAATAAAATATATAAAGGCATTTAGTGCCAGGTACATATATCGGGAATAAAAAATCTATCATTTGTTATTTTTTTGATGAATACGACGTTTTTTAATTTCGTGCTCATCACACATTGAAATCCTATCCCTTAATAAGCCTACGATCAACCCAAGATCCTCCTTCAGTGCTGTTTTGGATAGATTAATTCGATATTCGCTTTTGTTGGTACATAGCTACAGAATGGCATTTTATTAAACTTGCTACGGAAGGCCTATATTGTAGAAATAAGATAACAATGATCAGAAAATACTGTATATAACAAATTTACAAAAAAGCTCCAAAATATCTTGAAAGCCTGTAATTCTTAAATTTATAACATTTAAAATCTATTTTAAAAACTGTTACTAATTTAATAATTTTGAAATTTCAAAACACTTTGAAATTTTTTTATCTTAAGTAACTTATAATACCATACACTAACTGGAGCCATGCTCAGTATACTTTATTATTCTAGAAATTTGCAAGTTATTACATATATTTAATACATGCTAACGCTATAATATCTATAATATCTATATATTGAACTACATCAAGATTTTATCCTCATGCCGGCTTTGAGTTATTGGTTTATACTATAGCCTAGACTATAGCAAATGGACCAAGACTAGGAATCACAATGGTTCGGCTTGAATCGGTTTTAATCAAAACTGAAACTGATTTGATTTATTTTTTTTAAACCAATCCGATCAGAAATTAATTAGTTTTAATTTTTTGTAAATCGATCAGTTTTAATTTTTTGTAAACCAATTTGGTCTGAAACTGATCAATTTATATAAATATAATTTTATTAAATTATTTTATTTCAATAAATATAACTAAAAATTGTTTAATTTAATTTTTTTAAATTTATATTTACAGAGCTTACAAAAATAACTGATTACTTGAATAAATATAATTAATTATAATATTTTTTAATAAATAGCATATATATATCAAATAACACTTTTATATTTCTTTGTTCTTTATCAGTTAAAAATTCAATAGCAACACTGCTTTAAAGCAGTAGCAATAGGATATATATATATTTATTTAAATAAGCTGGTTTTATTTTTCTGCAATAAAAATTACTTATATTTTATTAATACAATTATTTTAACATGTCTATTCTTACTTCTATTTCTGCTTCTATCTCTACCTATATTTCAAGTGCTACAATTGCAATTATGAAAAGAAATGAATTTGAAGTAATAATTTTTAAAATACTTACAAGTATAGGTAAGGATGGGTTCCTAAACTATTTAGCATATAAAATTTTGCAGATCAATTATGTTTCTTTTAAAGAAACATAATTATTTGTTCATTACTTTAATAGGAACATAATTTAAAAAACACTTGAATCAAGTAGCCTAAATTGCAAAAAACCTTTGTAGGTAGTTTTTCTTTAACCTTATATTTTTAAAAAAACTTTTTTAATAGTAAGAGACATTTAATTATGTTCTTGCCTTTAATTTAGAAACCCATCTTTAAGTATAGGTATTGAATGCCAGAAAGTAAGGTAAGAATTATCACTAAATAATTGTTAAGTTATTATATATCTGAAGATATGCTACTATTAGATTAATATAATAGCAAAAAACTGAAAGCACTTCATGGCCACAAGTAGTTATTTGGCTAGAATAATAGTGCTTGTGAACATCTTTTTTTGTTTAATTATATTAACTAAAAACTACTGTATATTTTGCTTACACGATACCATTGATTGGTTTCTGAAGCTATGATAAATAAGATATATAATAAATATTTTAAAATCAGCTATTAATAATAATTATTTTGATAATGATGAAACATTTACTTACATATTTTAATATTAATTAAACAGGTTAACTGGTGGTAATGATGGTATCGATATTTTTGAAAATTATAAAAGATATTTAATTTTGGTTCAATGTAAAAATCATATGACTACAAATATTGATGTCAGGATAATATGTACTTTTGAAAGGGTAATGTCAAAATACTCTCCAAAATCAATAATAGAAATTCTTGTAACATTAGGTAATAATAGATATACAAAATTTGCTATATGAAAAACAAATTTATCTAATTATAATATTTTATTAATTAGTATTTCTTCAATGCCCTTAGATATTTTTAATTATTTAACAAGTAAATTTAACAGAAACATTATAAAAAAAAAATTAATGAATTAAAAAATTCTATTGGCATGTTGAATCAAAATTGAAAAAAAATTGAAAAAATTAATATAAATTTTAATTGTTTAGAAAAAAAATAGCCATAACATTACAAAATCAACAAAAAACAATTGTTATATTATTAGTCATTATAATTATATTATTATCAATAAAGATTTGTAATTATATTACCATTGATGCATTGCTTGTATTATTTAAAATTAAGAATTACAATTAAATATTTGACAATTATTAAATTATACAGTATGTATTATATATTGCACTCACATAACTGATGATTTTTTATTTATTTGTCAATTTGCCAATCATTTTTTTTTATCAATTTTGATTTTATTTTACTGTCGACACTTTGGTAATTGAATATTTTTTTATTTCCAACAAGTTATACCCCAATACCATGTTTTTATCATTGCTACACAGCAGTTGCTTGCACTTTATTTTTATTTGGTTTTTTAATGATATTACTAGTATTTTTTTAAATTATATATCTTTTTGATTGCTTGTTTTCAACAAAATTAATTGGAAGCTCAGGCCTACAAAATATTTAATACTGTAACTAACTGTCTTTATTTATATTCAACAGCTACATTCCAACACTTGAATTTTTCTGCTGTTACCAGTACTTTATTATAGTAAGTAATAATTATATAACAATTCAAAAAAAATCAATTATGTTATTATTTAAGAATTAATATTAATAATTAATTATATACTTGTATCGATTATAGAAATGGCTTCTTTTAGGAGTAAAACTCTTTCCGCTAATCCTTTTGCCAACCCCAAAAACAAACGTTCTCAAAAGACTTTTTGTCTTTATAATAATAAAGTCTATACACTTTCCTTAAAAACAATACTGGTTTTAATCAGCCAAGCGAGCAGAAGCTACCACTTGTTTTATTTTTCTTTTTCAAAACACTTTTCTTGTTTATTTTTGTAATTAAATACAAGAAATCTACCTAAAAGGTCTATAGCAAAAACACTTATAAAAAGAAAATAGACAAGAAAAAATACCCTCCAAAGCTTCACAAAAGATTTAAGAATCTAAAAAAACAAAAATAAAGAAGTCTCCAGTCTTTCAATCATCTTTTTGGCTTTCCACTTCTTTTTTCTCAAGCATGCTTCCTTTTTTTCTGGTTTTTCTGAAGAATTTTGCCTACCTCAGTTTGATCCTTAATTTTTTGGTCACACCAATTTTCTAAAAGATGATTGGTCAAGGTCACAGATTGGTTAATCACGTTAGTCACAGAACAAGTAAACAAGACACATACTCCTCATGTGTTCCCAGTTATACAACACCAAACTAATAATGTGATTGGTTTCTGAAAGAGTTGAATGGTATTTAGTTGACTCCTTTTTGTTCCTATTCTTTTATTTTCTTTTTTTCTTCCCTATTCTTTTTTGAGGACAAAAAGTAACAACAAGGTCTAGGTTCTATCCCAATCTGATAACAAGTTGAAGTATCAATATCTATTTTGAAAATGGTTGAAAAAAGGAATCTTGAAACTATTTACTGGTTGAGTGAAACTATAATTCCAGAAGACATGGCTTGGAAGAAAAATTAACAATAGAAAATCAATATTTTTTCTGGTTAGAAGTCTTCAAGCGTAAAGTTTCAAGAAATACTCTCCTGAAAGTGTCCTTAAACATTCTTGGACATAAACTATTCCATTGAAAATTAAACAATTTGACTGGCCACAGATGGTAAGAAGTGAGAAATCATAAGGGCTTGGGTTTTAAGTTTACTGGAATAACATTTTCAATGATAATTAGAATAGATAATAGGCTTTTTTCTTTTCTTTTTGTCAAAAAATGCCCTTTTTTATTTCTTTTTCCTCTTGTGTATTCTTTATAAGAGGAGGATGTTACAATTTGGATTTATGGTCATAACTGTGAAGGTGATCTGCAGGTTTTGATCCTAGCAAAAGTTTGGGATCTTAATTCCATCCTTTAGAAGAACAATATATTACTCCTATAAATTACATTTAAAGGCTTCAGCTGTTGACAGGTAAGTTGGATCAAAAAAATTTATACTTTGTATATATTTTTATGCATGTAATGGTTCTCTATAATCTAATAAATAAATGTTACCAACCTGATTGCGAAATTAAAAAAAAAAACAATTACCTATCATTTTCAACAATATTCCATATTCAATTATATAAAAATTGCCTCTACTAAAATTACCTTTACAATGTGTAAATATCAGATTATTTTCATATCATATTTCTTATATACAACAGGCAGCAATTGCATGATCCAAGAAATTATTATTAGTGTGTGTGAATTTTGTATACCTCCAGGCTGCATAAGCTTTGCACAAATTGAGAAAATTGTTAAGTTTTATTTCTTTGTTGGCCAGCTTGATAACAAATCCTTTATTAACAGCTTTATATCTGTTGCCATTGAGTCTCGGCAAGTTATATTTATTTAATTAATTGTTTATACCAGATATAACATCAGAAGGAAAAAGACCCATTGCATAATAAAAAAAAAACTCTCATCCATTTACCACTGATTCTTGAAAAATTTCTTTTTATGGTAATTTCTTTGAAAAAGCATTTACCACTCTCTTAACATGCTATCTATGTCATAAGCTTAAGAATATAAGTACTTTAAGAACCACTGTTACATCGGAATGGGACCTCTGGGCAAAGACTAAGCAAGTT